CTGACACATGGTAGGCAAGTGCTCTACCACTGAGCTATAACCCCAGCTTATTTTTATTTTTATTCTAATTAATTGTACATGATGGCAGAATGCTTTTTGATTCATTTTACACAAATGGAGCAAGATTTTTCACTTCTCTGGTACAAAGTAGGTTCACACCATTCGTGTAATCATACCTGTACCTAGAATAATGATGTCTGTCTCATTCCACCATCTTTCCTAACCCCATACTCCATCCCTTCCCATCCCTCCCCTTTGCCCAATCCAAAGTTCCTCCTCTCAACCCATGCCATTCTCCCCATTATGGATTATCATCCAATTATCAGAGAAAACATTTGGCCTTTGGTTTTTGGGGATTGACTTACTTTGCTTAGCATGATAGTCTCCAACTCCATCCATTTACCTGCAAATGCCATATTTTCATTCTCTTTTATTGCTGAGTAATATTCCATTGTGTGTATATACCACAGTTTATTTTTCATTCAGCTATTGAAGGGCATCTAGGTTGGTTCCACAGTTTGTCTATTGTGAATTGTGCTGCTATAAACATTGATGTGGCTGCATCACTATAGTATGCTGTTTTAAAGTCCTTTGGGTATAGACCATCTGTTTCCATGTAAGATTGTTGTCATAATTTTTTTTCTTTTTTTCCATTCTGGTTCTGAGGATCTTCACATCTGCTAGGTAAGTGCTCTAATGCTGAGCTACACCTCATTTTCACTCTGCCAAGGTTAAGGCACTTATTCCCCCAGCTTGGGAAGGTTGGTGGCTGAGTTCTTCTTCAAGAATTCCTGAGAGCCTATTTGCCTAAGGTCATTCTCCCTCCTTGAGGAAACCTACATCCAATGACTTCTGGATATGGTCCAGCCCCCTTGCTTCCAGGCAGGACAACTGTGAAGAGATATTCCAGTCTCTCTGCTTCCAGAAGGATTGGTTAAGCCCTTTCTTATAATCACATCACAACCCAGTCCTGCCCGCCTCAGTCCTCATGGATATTGTTTCCAAGAGCACTTCCTAATGAACCCCCCATGTAGAAATATGAGTCTTAAGAATGTATCCTGGGAAGCCCAAGCTGCAACAGATATAAAATACAGGACATCAATAATATGTGTTCATAGTGAAACAGAAAAGAGGATAAAGCAAGGGGGTATAATGTTAACAATTGGTGATCTGGATGATGAGTATATAGGATTTTGTTTTTGTATTCTTGTAACTTTTCTGTATTTTGAAATTATGACAAAATAAAAGTTTTAAAAATAGAACAAATACCAATTACCTGAAGATACTTTTGTGTAATTATGCTCTGAGACAATGAAATTGGAGTCAACTTCTTCTAAACTTCTGATTCTGCAAAAATTAGATATATACTTAATCACTGGAAGACTTTACATTTATATCTTATCAGTTCTCCATCAGCCCACTGAATGTTTTCCATGATGGGGTACATTGTCTATTATAAGAAACTTTTAAGTAAATGACTTAATTTACTTAAATGATACCTGAAAGGATACTATCAATCCATAGCAACAATGTTAATCAGATGTTAAATAATAAATGTAACAGCTTGGAAATTTGTTCATTTTGTGGAGCATTTCAGTTCCAAAACACACTATTGCATTGCACATGTCTGACAGTCTGTCAGTTTGATATCTCATCTAAGATCTATCGCAGGGTTTGCCAGTTCTGCCTTGAAGTATTATCTGAATGGTGCAGGCTCAACGGGATCTATAGCTTCTCTCTAGATAGTTTCTACTCCTGCTTAGGACCTCAATATCTGGGCACTCATCTTCGAACACCCCACAGCACTATTTCCTGCAGGGTCTTTACTTTTTTTTTCCTCTGAGGTTTCTCACTTGGTTTGATGCCAGAGGGACTTTATTTCTGCTAAGGAACTAAATTTGTGTCCTCCCTTTTATTTCTTTTGAAAATCCAGAAATGTTGTATATTGTCATCTAATCTTACTAAGGACACCTCACTCACTTGCAGTGTTTAGCTGATGGCAAAAATTAAATAAATAAATACAAAGAATGACTTTCCATAGACTTAACTATGTGCTAACTGCCTTCCTTCTTGCACTATAAGATAGGTTTCTTACATTTTAGTTCTTCTAGGCCAAAATGCATCCCCAAAGATGCAAAATATTTTTCTTTCATAATTCTTGCTATTCTTCAGTTTCTCTAACAATTTTCTTTAAAATTGGCCTTTTGAAAATGTTATTAAATCTGCTTCCCTAATGTCTAACCCTAAGTCCATATCATATCACAGAGAATTTTGGTGCTGAATGCTAAAGGGGCAATAATACGCCTCCTGATTAAATCCATGGAAAGAAGATGAATGAGTTAAGCCCCAGTCACTGTTTGCCAGTGTTTATACACCCAAGCCCCAAGTAAGCTCATTTTAATTATTCATTTTCATGTGAGGTTGCAACAATATGAAAAGCTACAGCCATAAATAAAAAGTTCTTGTTATTTCCTCAGTATCCCTGATATATGCGTAACTTGCCAATAGTTCCTTCTGCTTGTAATAATTTTTCTCTTCCTTTACAGTGGTTGGAATCCTAGCCAGCCTTCAAAACCTTGTTCAAATTTACTTCCTGTTTCAGGTTCTTCTTGCAGTTAGTTCATTCAAGAAAGTTCATTATATAATTCTTCTCATTGTCTCCTATAAGTCTGTATGCTAATCTTATCTTTCCACTCAGGCTATAAGTTTTTTTGAGGGCAAAGACCATGTATCATACCATTGCTTTTTGAAGTATTTTTCTTGTATAATTTCTAAAATGATTTTGAAAAATTATGTACCTCCTCATACATTTTTAGATTGATGTGGAATTTTATAAGAATGAATAACTTCAAAGGAAATAATTCTGGCCTATTATAAATATTGACATTAAAGACAGAAGAAAAGAAAAATAAACTGGACTAAGTTTTATTCAAGAGTATCTAAGGGAATCTAAATACCATTGGATTGGTACCTATAATCATTCATTTGAAAAAACACAAGAAGTCTTTATCTGCTGGAAATTTTAACATCATTCTCTTTTTTTCCTTGAAGTCATAGTTTTATTCCACATTCCTTTCCAAATCTTATCCTTATATAAGCTGTTTTTGTGCTCAAAGTCTTTTCACATCAAATATGTACATAAATTGAAATTATTTTTCAAAATCTTCTGTGAGCAAAGGTTTTAAGTGATAAAATATTCCTTCTAGATTGATTTCTTATTACAGTTATTGTTATTACACAACCACAATCTGTCAAAACCATGTGAATGCATTGTAAAAACTATCAAACATATATAAAATACTTACCAAACATAAAGAATATACTTTTATTGGAAATGCATGCTTTTATGAGATACATAGGATTATTCCTTTACCTACATATGAATATTACTTATTGATAGATATAAGCAGGTTCAGCATAAATTCTGTTTTACATTTTTATAGATGCAAATACTATAAAAACTTGTTCATATGAATTATAGGTGGGACTAGAAGGTGCTTTATTATAGTACTGTCAGTTTTATGAATTCCTTCAGAGTAATATATCAAAATTATTTATTTATTATAAAAACATTTTTCATCTCTTGTTGACTGTTAACTAAGTCTTTTTTCAGTTATTGAAAGCAAAGAATTGAAGCATCTTCCTTAAAAAAAGTTTTATTAAAATAGTCATTAGGAGTAATTTCTTAATTTTGGAAGTAAACCCCAAAATGTTACTAAAATTTACCAAATAACTATTAATTAAGCCAATTATACTTTAATTTAACTTAATATATTCAGAAACTGGGAAAATAAAAATGTTAATTGCAATATACCTATCAATACAATAATTTTTTGATAAAGTGATTTTATTGTAGCATGTGGTTTAAATATATTTTTATCAACTCTTCAGAACTGCAGATTTGGTTCATTTAATTTTTGGAAAGTACCTGTCATATAACCTAGTTGACAAAGCCAACTCTCATTGTCTAAAACAACGAGCCAAGTTGGATTTAAAGTTTTGTTTTCCCATAAAATATATATTTATTTGAATAAATGTAAAAATAGACATTGTTCTGATTACCTTTACACTACTGAGTTCTGTTCCTAAGGTGGAGAACTCAGGCTTGGAGCTTTGTCACAGTTCCCTGTATTGATGACATAAAGATCCTGCCCCAGGCTTTCATTTACTGTGCTCTCAGTGATCTCTTCCTTAGGAATGATGCATTGTTTCACAATATTTGGGAGATGAAAATCACAAAGACATCAAGTGAAACTTGTCACCTGTCCTGCTGCCCCATACTTTAATACGGTATATCTGAATACCAAACACCGGTATGGACCAAAACACCCTGTTATTTGTGGCTTGCTTTGCCATAAAAAGAATATCTATGAGACAGGATGCTGGGGTTTTTTGGGCCTTGATAAAGGAGTCCTCCCTAATGCAATGTTTTTCCCCCGACTGTTGTTTGTCACTGTAGAAGTTCTTATGCTTTGCAGTTTAATAAAATGAATGAAGGGACATGTCTTTCTTTTGTAAAGTGGGGATAAATTGATTATGAATGTGATGGGGAGAAGACCTAGCCTGCAGCCTCTATGTAGTTGCATCCTCAGACAGATGGGTTTTTGGAAAGAATATAAGCAAGCATTTTGGATATGTAAAATGATTGCTTTAAAAGGGTTTGTCCCCACCTGGGAAATCTTTATGAAGCTCCAATTGTGTATATACTAGTTGAAGATAGCTTTCTTTTACTTCTTATTGCATATAGTAATATGATGACCTAGAATGGGTACATGTGACCTTCAGTAATTGATATGGGAAAGGGCTAGAATTTAAGTTGTATTTTTAAAATAATTCTGAAGTATCCATTTATAAACAAGTGATTAATACTCTAAGTGCTTGTTGGCAGATGTGTATTAGTTGGCAGAATGAATCTTGAGAAGCAATTAAAAATTATGAACTAATTAAAAAACATTACTCTTTTTTGCTGAAGTAAAATATTAGCTTTATGTCATTGACAGAAAAAGAAGGATTGAAGCAAGAGCTGCACCAAGACATGCAGTCGCCTGCTGGCACGGTGTTGTCCCAGGAAATTCTACCACTCAGGATAAATTCATGGAAATCAACAGAGGTAAGTCATTGCTGTGGATTCTTTTCGCTGTTGTAACAAATTACCAAAAACTTTGTGCCCACAATACCACACATTAGACTGCCAGATCTGTGAGTTGGAAGTCTGACCCCTCTCTGGGCTGAAACCAAGATATCTGCAGGGCTGCATTCCTCTGAGAAGGATGCCTGTTTCCTTGCCTTCCCAGTGTCATGTGCTTGTCTTTTCACTTTGTTTTTGGTATTTTTTATTATACAGGGTTTTAAATATGAATAAGGACAAATTACGAAGTTTCCCTTTATGCTTTAAAATTATTCATATTTAAAACCCTGTATAATAAAACATCTTAAGAAATTTTTCCTTTCCTCTTATAATCAAAATCTCTTGTATTTTCCCCTAAGAGTTGAGGTCCTTATTCCTCTAGAACTTTACTCTGTATTTATTATACCATATATTATTTTATTTGTGCCCTGTGGATAGGCAGTGTTTAATTTACTGAGTAGTTTATCTTTTCCTACTCATTTAAATATCTTTTTATTACAAAATTATTGTAAACTTACAGGAAATTACAAAAACAGTACAGAGTTCCCACCATCCAGCTTCCTCTAGTGTTGAGTCAACACCTTTTATAGCTGATGTAAATGCCAACATCAGGAAACAGACATGGGCATGTTAGTGTTAACTAGACTATAGACCTTATTTGATGTTTAGTTTGTTTTTAAATTCAGTATTCAATATTTTTTTAACTTGTGTTTTTGTATTTGGTTCTGTGCAGTTTTATCCTACACAGATTTGTGTAACTAGCACCACACTAAGAATATAGAACTATTCCAACCCCACAGTAGTCCCTAATGTTACCCACTCCACACCCCCAACCTTATCCTCTAGCAGCAACTAATCTTTCCTCCATCTCTATATAGTTTTTGTTGTTTATTTATGTAATTTATATTATATAAATGGAATCAGATAGTAAATAACTTTTTGAGATTGAATTTTTCACTCAATGTAATCCTCTTGACATCCATTCAGGTTGTTGCACATATCAATAATTTATTCCATTTTATTGCTGAGTAAAATCACATTATAAAGACCTACCAGAATTTGTTCAGTCATTCACCCAATGAAGATTATTTAGGTGTTTCTAGGTTTTGGCTACTTATGAATAAAGCTGCTATGAATATTTATGTAGATTTTTGGTGTGGAGTTTTCATATCTATAGGATAGATGTCCAAGTGTGTGGCTGTTGGGTTGTATGATAAGTATGTACCAAATTTTATAAGAAACTGTACCATTTTATATTCCCACGAGCGATGTATGAGAGATCCAGTTCCTCTGCATCCATAGCTTTTGGTATTACCACTATTTTAATTTTATCTGTGACTAACAAGTTTATAGTGATATCTCAGGGTGGTTTTAATTTGCGTTTCTAAAATGGCTAATGATGATGATCATTTTTTTATGTACTTATTCAGCTCATTATAAATTCTCTTTGGTAAAATACATCTTCAAGTCTTTTGCCCATTTTCTAGTTGAATTCTTTTTTACCATTGAGTTTTATGAACTTTTCATATATTCTGATACAAGTCCTCTGCTAGACATGTGATCTGCATGTGTTTCCTTCCTGTCTGTGGCTTATCTTTTCGTTTTCAGTGCTGGGGACTGAACCTATGATCTCACACATGGTGGGCAAACACTCTACCACTGAACTGCAATCCAGTTTTTTTCTTTTTTAATTTTGAGACAGGGTTTCACTAAGTTGCCCACAGTGACCTTGAACTTTGATCCTCCTGCCTCCTGAGTAGGGGATAATAGGTGTACACCACTGAACCCAACTTATCTTTTTTTTTTCCCCAACTTATCTTTTCTAACAATATTTTTCATAGAGAAAAAATTTAAATATTTGACGAAGCCCAGTGTACCAATTTTTTTCATTTATGGATCATGCTTTTGGTGTCTTATCTAAGAATTCTGCCTAATCCATAGTTACATCTCCATAATTTCTGTAATTTATTTAATATTATTATTATTATTATTTTGTCTGTGACTGTCAAATATGCTTAAATGTAGGTTTTCTCTTTCTTCCCTGTCATCCATGGCCGTTTTCAGTGCAAAAAATTCTGTCATCTCTTTAATTCTGAGATTGTTATCTTTTTTTTTAAAAATGCTTCCTATTGTTTATTTTTTTCTTTCTTGGACTCCTACTATATGGATATTTTAGTAATTCTCTTTCTGTCTTCATATCTCTTAACTTCACTTTTTAGTTTTTGCTCCCTGATTGTTTTCTATTTCTTCAATGAGTTTCTCCATCTTGATCCTCCAGTTTTATCATTTTTTAATGCTATATTCATTCCATTATTTAGTCCATCTATGTTCTTTATTTTAACTATTCTGTTTTTAATATTTAATATTTGTTTCAGTCTTCATATCATTCTTCCTATTTCATATTTATTATATATTTATTTCAGTATTTTTATTAAAGTTATTTTAAATTCTTGGTCCATCTTTTCTAATGTTGTATTTCAAATGAAATCTGAGATTCAGTTTTTTCCTTATGAAATAGTTATACTTCTCAATGGACTGGTTACCCCCTAGAGCTATTGGCTGCTCTGTCTAGGATTGCTAAAGGCTAGATCCTAGTCAGTATCAGCTTGTCAGCTTTAAGTAGGAAATGGGAAAATGGACTTTGGGTGGGCTGCACGTCTTTCCTCACCCTCCAAGAAGGACCAGAGCTAATCATGCCCCACTTCAGGCTCAAGGCCTCAGGGTAAGTCTTTATCTTAGTACCCCAAGAAGAGAAGGCCTTAGAGGAGATGCTTCCTGAACTGTAAACATGACTGGGGAGTAGAAAAGGAAGGGGTAAGAATCATCCTCCCTCAAAGTTTTCTCATCTCCTCCCCACCTAGGGCTTCTGTGCGGACCAGAAGGTAGTTCTGAATACAGCTTTTGAGTCACAGCGGGTGTGGAGACAGGTGCCAAGGCAGTGGATGAGTGGCGGCAGTTCCTGCAGCTTCTTCCTTTATTTATCCTGTCTCTGCACAAGCCACCTTGTGTCCTAGGATAAGGCCAACACCAACTTCCCCACTCACACACAGATATACCAGTTTAGAAGAGCCCTCTGTCTCACTGGGGACCTCTTGGTTTTCTTCTTATTTTGGTGTCCTGCCCTTACATTATGTCAGCATTTATCCCAAGGGAGGTAGCCAGCAGCACCAGCACCTGTTCTGTTCTTTTTTCAATATTCTCTGACCTTTTCGGATATACACCTACTTAACTTCTGTTTGCACTTGCATGTACCAATATGCATCTTCTGATACATAGCTCTTCAAATGCTACTTTTTCTCTATTTTTTCAAAATTTTTCTGCTTAATTTCTATTAGATATAAGGTCATTTAATCTGTCCTTTTTCATGTTTTTCAACTGCTTTTTAAAATATTTTTTCTCCTGTCTCCATGCTGCACTTTAATCTATCTTCTAGTTCAACTTATTTTTCTTTTTTTGGTGCCTACTCAGAATTCTTCCTGTCCAGTGAGTTTTTTATTTCAATAAGTGCATTTTTCATTTCCAGGATCTCTTATTGCTTATTTTTAATATTAACTTATATTTATTTCATATCTCCTTTTTCTGGGGGTGGGTACCGGGGATTGAACTCAGTGGCACTCAATCGCTAAGCCACATCCCCAGCCCTATTTTATATTTTATTTAGAGTCAGGGTCTCACTGAGTTGCTTAGCACCTTGCTTTTGCTAAGGCTGGCTTTGAACTCACGATCCTCCTATCTCAGCCTCCCAGGCTGCTGGAATTATAGGTGTGTGCCACAACACCCAGGTCTACTAGGTATTTTTTGTTATTTTTTTTCTGTTTTCTGTTTTCTTATTCCATAAAATTAATATTATGCTTTTCATTATCTTTTTGAGGATTCTAAGCATATTTAATTTTAATACTTTTTAAACTTATTATTTTCATTTTTTCAGGAATGAATTCAATTCTATTTTACAATATTGGATTATAAGCTCATCTTCAGTGACTCTAGCTTTTAAAATCTGTATGCATATGTCCCCTTATCTCTCTCTCTCTCTCTCCTTTTTTTTTCATTTGCTTCTTCCTGACCATTGGGACAACCTTACCACACTCAAGGCAGCTTGAGCCTCATTTCTTTGGCTGGTATTAGATATTGCAGATCTGGGGCCTCGTCCATGGAATGCCATGATTTACTTGCTGGACAAGTTTGTGTCCTCTTGCCTAACCTAGTGTAGTAACTTTTAGAAGCCACAACCCCAGACTTTGATTGATGGCAGGTTATTTCAGCCTCCTTCATAAACAGGGGATCCCAATGACTGCACATAATTTCAAGGAGTAAGCCTGTATTCAATGGATACTTTTACACTGTATATACCCCTCCAGAGTTGAGTTCCTGGTTTTCTCTGCCTTTTTCTGAACTCAGAGCCCCAGGAGTCCACAGCTTTAACCATTGTGTGTTTCTTGAAATTAAGAAGCTTTTGCCCATGAAGATGTTAATCTTAATTTCAAGCAAGACTTATCTTCTTAATTTTCACATTTATATATTCTCTTTAATTGTTCTGTATTAGGAGAAGGAAGGTATCCCCAGAGAATGAACCTGTAGAACCATCTTGACTGTTGTTAAAGTTTAGATTAGGTGTCTCCCAAAAGCTCATGTGTGAGACAATGCAAGAAAGTTTAGAGATGAAAGTGTTACATTACAAGAGGTTTAACCTAATCCATGCATTAATCCCAGTAGGGATTAATTTGGTGACTGTAGGCAGGTGGGGTGTGACTGGGGGCATTCTTGTGGGTTTTATATTTTGTCCTTGTTGAGCAGCGCTTTCTCTCTCTGCTTCTTGATCTTCATGTCCCCACACTCTTGTGCCATGGTGTTCTGCCTCCTCTCCTGCCCAGAACAATGAAGTTGGCCATCTATGGACTGAGACCTCTGAAACTGAGCCCCTAAATAAACTTTTCCTCCTCTAATTGTTCTTGCATTTTGGCATTTTGGTCAAATGGTGAAAA